GAGTTGAAACATAAATGTGAATGACCTTACATTCAATTACCATCCCATCACTATAAATTCTATTGGGGTTCTTTTAAGATCCACAGTAAAGAATGCAATGCTGTTACTGATCCATTTGCGTTCTTGCAGTATTTGAAAGAACAAAGGCTTCCTCCTCAGACATTCATACCTCTTCAGTCTGTCCGTGTAAAGCCAGTAATGGAGAGATTGCGCAACTTAGGTGGTACTGCGAAGCTGATATTTGATGTAGTCCAATATCCTTTATCAATGTTTGATTGCATAGAATTCCTGATTGCAAAACTTTATAATCCAGTCTTGTGGTTATGATCTTACAGTACAGTAGTCTGGGCATTTTGTATACTGTCAGTGGGCAGCGTGCTTGGCTTCTTGTATCAGTGTATGGAATGCTTCAGGTGCTGTCTGGTCATCTCATAATTCTCCCTACTCATGCTTTTATGTGCTCGTTTTTCTTCTTTCATCTTCAGTGATGTTTCCTTCATGTGACTCCCACTCCTCTTGTCCTCACTTCTGCATTTATTCTGGTGATCATATTAAAGAGTAAAGCATCAAGTTGATCTGTTCATGAATCATGATTAGCTGCCGCAGTTTATGTCATGATAATCATACCATTTCATAATTTTTGATGTATGTTGCCTCTGTTCTTATATCTTTCCATTTGTAAGATTAAACTGTGAGTTTGTACATGAAAATCTGAAAAAGCTGCTTTTAATTTGTGGACTTAACAACCACACATTTGATCCTGCCTTGGAGAAGGCAATTCTATTTGCGGTTGGCAACACTCTTGTTTGTGACGAACTTGATGAGGCTAAGCGTCTCAGCTGGACTGGCGAGAGGTTCAAAGGTAATTAGTTTGTATATTTGTAATTGTTCTCATATTCTGTGTTAACAAGTCATGTTCATATTTAATTAAGTGTTACCTTTTTATCTTTCCAATATAAATTAGTTGTAACTGTTGATGGAATTCTGCTCGCGAAATCCGGCACAATGACTGGTGGTACCAGTGGTGGAATGGAAGCAAGGTCAAATAAATGGGATGACAAAAAAGTTGAAGGTTGGTTTAGACTTTTCTGTTTTCTAAATTTTAATTTTAATTTTTGGGTTATTCTGGAAGTGGCTTTGACTGCTTGCATTCTGTAGGATTGAAGAAGAAGAAAGAACAGTTTGAGTCAGAGCTGGAAGAGCTTGGATCAATTAGAGAGATGCAGATAAAAGAGTCTGAGACAACTGGTAGAATTAGTGGACTTGAGAAGAAGATCCAGTATGCAGAGATTGAGAAGGTAACTTCAGGGAGTTCTCTTCCATTTTACAGATGAAGGTTTGCCTGAATGGTTTAAATTGTTAGTTTATAATTCTTTTGAGCTTTAAGTAAACTGTTAATAGGTATTTACATGTGTATCCGTACCCACTTTCATATCTTGTTATGGTCTCCCTGCTAGATTCCTGCTGCACTTTGCCTGAAATTCTGTTTAGGGTGTTAACATAGAATTTTTTCATATAACATCCTGAAAATGGGTTTAGATTCTGGCATAACTTGAGTGGCATAGAAATTCTGTTGAAATCTTTACTTTCGATTTGTTGGTCTGGAGTAATGTGGTCCAGAGGGTGCAGGCTGAAAAGTTAGAGCTGTTTCAACATGTGCTGTGGTCCATGTTTAACAAATTATATGATCTTAGATGTAGAGAGGTGGAAGTATGGCGTAGCCAGTTTCAAAAATCTGAAATAGTAAGGGTTTTTTGTTTGTGGTTTTGGGGGTGGGATTGCCGTGCCTATATATTTGCACTACAAATTGACATTGGCATTTCTTGATTTTGCCTTATACAATTATGCTTTGTGGCGGATTAACAAATAAGACAACTTCTTTGCAGAAAAGCATTAAGGACAAACTTGCAAACTTGGCGCGGGAGAAGCAGAATATAAAAGAAGAGATCGATCGTAGCAGTCCTGAACTTCTGAAGGTCTTTTTATACGTTTTATATTTTTTATTCTGATGATGAGACGCTTAATCTAGTTTATTGCAGTAATTTATTTCAAACCTGTAGTTCCAGCAGTTTTAAATTTTGCTTTCAGTTAAAGCAAGCTGTAGATAAGCGGAGCAAAGAAATCAATAAGCTTGAGAAGAGGATAAATGAAATTGTTGACAGAATCTACAAAGATTTTAGTAAATCTGTTGGGGTGGCAAACATCCGTGAGTACGAGGAAAATCAACTCAAGGCTTCCCAATATATGGCTGACGAGAGGCTTAGTTTGAGTAGCCAGCTGTCAAAGTTGAAATACCAGTATGTTCTTGCATCTCCTTCTGTTTATCTCTCTGACAATACATACAAAAATCAACAAAAATGTCAATTTAAACTCGTTTGAGTTTCATTTTCCTCATTTCATATATCTTTCCAGAAACGAAACAGATTCATCCTCAAATTTTAAATTCAAAACAATCTGCTTTCTCCCTACTATGAGATGTTTGTGATGTGGTGGCTGTGGTACTCGCGCAGATTATATGATGCAATACTTTTTTATTTGGTTGCTTTCAGGTTAGAGTATGAGCAAAATCGGGACATGGAATCGCGGATTAAAGAACTTCAACATTCTATTAGTAATTTGCAAAAAGATTTAGAACGGGTTCAGAAGAAAGAGGCCGAAGCCAAGTCAGCGGCTGAAAAAGCTTCTGGTGAAATTCTTCGATGGAAGGAAGAAGTACAAGGTATGAAAATGGCTTGGCAGGTGCCATATTACTTATGGGGACATTAAATTTGAACTTCTATGCAATCAGCTTGAGGTTGAATTCTTAAGTTATTCAAACTGGTCAAGTCGTCAATTTTTTCTTCAATATTTTTATTTATTTTTAAAAACATTTATTTTGTCCTCCTATTCTTGCAGAATGGAAATCCAAGTCAGAAGGATGTGAGAAGGAAATCCAGGAATGGAACAAGCGGGGTTCTACAGCTACAACAAGCGTATCCAAACTGAATCGACAGATAAATTCTAAGGTTGGAATTTAGTTTTGTTTTCACCAATTTTGCCTACCTTGTTCTAGTTAAACTTAAAAGGCTTACATATGTTTTTCTCATGTTATAGGAGGCACAGATTGAGCAACTGATGTCACGGAAGCAGGAAATAGTAGAAAAATGTGAACTAGAACAAATAAGCCTACCCATCATCTCAGATCCAATGGAGACTGAATCCTCCACAATGGGCCCAGTTTTTGATTTTAGTCAGTTAAATAGGTCTCAATTGCAGGATAGAAGGCCCTCTGAACGGGAGAAACTTGAGGTGGAATTTAAGCAAAAAATGGATGCCCTAACATCGGAAATTGAAAGAACAGCTCCAAATATGAAGGCCCTGGACCAATATGAGGCTTTAAAAGAAAAGGAAAGGGGTGTGACTGAAGAGTTTGAAGTGGCTAGAAAAGAAGAGAAAGAAAAAGCTGATCTGTTTAACTCAGTTAAGCAGAAGAGGTATTAATTGCTTCTACACTACTACAGATCCTGTAACAAGTTATAATTCAGTTGATAAAAGATGATTGACACAGTATCCTATTTTGGTAACAGGCGTTTTCTTTGGGATAAAAACTAGAAAAAAGATTGATTTATTTTCTATTATTGAAAAGCAAAAACATTGTATTCTCTTATGTTGCCTCCCTGCAACACCTACTGTCTTTTAATTCAGCTGGGGTTTTTTTGGGGGGGTCAATGCAGGTACGAATTGTTTATGGATGCATTCAACCATATATCTAGTAATATTGATAAGATATACAAACAACTCACGAAGAGCAACACACATCCACTGGGTGGAACAGCATATTTGAATTTAGAAAATGAAGATGATCCATTTTTACATGGCATCAAGTATACCGCTATGCCCCCAACAAAGCGCTTTCGTGACATGGAACAATTATCTGGTGGAGAAAAAACTGTTGCAGCATTGGCATTACTCTTTTCGATACACAGGTGTGTTTTAACTCTTAAAACGTAGATAGAATTGTTTTTACCTTTAAGTTTAATAGTCACTATCACGCATTACATATACTAATGGTTTTTTTTTTACTCATATGAATGGCTTCAGTTTTAGGCCTTCACCATTTTTCATACTGGATGAAGTCGATGCTGCACTAGATAACTTAAATGTTGCTAAGGTTGCTGGATTCATCCGTTCGAAGTCCCGTGAAGGAGCCAGGGAGAACCAGGATGATGATGGAGGCAGCGGTTTTCAGAGCATCGTAATATCTCTAAAAGATAGCTTCTATGACAAGGCTGATGCTTTAGTTGGGGTTTACAGGGACTGTGAAAGGAGGTGAGCTTCATGTTATAATAGGAATATGTGTAGATTTTCATTATTCATTTCATATGGCATAGTAATGCAATAACTGTGCTTGCTTAATGCAGCTGTTCGGAAACTCTGACATTTGACCTGACGAAATATCGGGAGTCATGATACGGCTACTACAGGCTTTCAGTGTTATGTAGATACAGATCATTTTGCTCGCATTCCTGTAGTCACTGTACATAAGACTAAGATTTGTGTGGCTGTTGGGATTGTTGTTTTATTAGGCATGGAAATCAGCAGTTAGTTTTCTTCTGTGTTAGGCATGTAAAAATCACTGCTTTGGGTTATGTTTTATTAAACAATATCTTTCACAAAGCAATCAGCTCTCTCTCTCTCTCTCTTAATGAAAAAGCCTGTGTGAAGTACCTTCTCATTCGGATTGTTTTCTAGTAACCATTTTTTGTGGTTTGCTTATTAGGAAAGTGCGAGTTCTTACTTACCTTTTTTGTTTTTCCCTTGTCTTTTGCTCGTTAGTAAAAAAGTGAACTTTTATACTTTTCTCCCTTGGAGAAACCAAACTCAATTTTGACACCAAAACAAAAATCTAGATCTTTCTGTATTGGCCGCCTAATCGTCCGTCAATTAAGAGCCACTAATTCCATGCTAGTCAGCCTGCCACGTCCATTACTGTTAAAACACTTGTAATTTGTTAGGCAAAAATACCAAAACAATTTTGGACCAAACAAACTGTTAGTTGCTGCCGTCATTGACACAACCAAAATTTGGCGCCAGGGTAACCACACAGGGCGCAGGGTTTCCTAAAGCCTTTTGAGGTTATAGAAAAAGGAAACAAGAAAAAAAAGCTTGTATTTTTCGTGTCTCTGTATCGATCTTAATTCTCAGCCATTGAATCTGAGCACCGCTAATATTCAGTTCTCCGGAAACAGCTGCCAGAGCTGTGTGTACAGGAAGGAACTCTGGCGGCCCGGAATTCTGAAAACCATGACAGAGAAAAAGAATGAGGAGAACCCAAAAGAGAAGGAGGGTGATCATGTCAGAGAAAAAGAGGAGAGCCAAAGCAGCCAAGAAGATGATCAAGAAGAAAGCAAGAAGAGCCCAAGAGAGCAAAAGCCTAATAATAGTGGAAACGAAAGCACCCAGGAAGATGAAGAAAGTGACATAGAATTTCTTGGCCCTGCAATTTATCAAGAGGCTGAAACCACACCTTCTGTTGAATTGAAGCAGAGCGACAACAAGAAAAAAAATAAAGCTTTATTGGAATTGAGGTGCAGGGTGGAAGATGCAATTGTTGGGAATTATCTTCTGGGAAAACCCAACAAAAAGATTAGCCCCGCTGAAAGTGCCAGGCAGAGAGAAGAGCTTAGGGAGATTAGTCTTTGGGGTGTGCCTTTGTTGCCTAGCAAAGGCCACCAAGGCACTGACATTGTGCTGCTCAAATTCTTGAGAGCCAAAGATTTTAAGGTCCTTGATGCATTCGAGATGCTACGCAGGACGCTGAAATGGCGAAAAGAATACAGAACCGATGAGATTCTTGAAGAAGAGTTGGGCTCTGATCTTGAAAATTTGGTGTTTTGGAGTAGTGTGGACAAGGAGGGGCACCCTTTGTGTTTCACTGTGTATGGGCCTTTCAAGGATAGGGAATTGTACAAGAGGACATTTGGTTCTAAAGAGAAACGCCAGCAGTTTTTAAGGTGGAGGGTTCAATTTATGGAAAAGGGCATCAAGAAGCTCAGCTTCAAGAATGGAGGAGTGGACTCTATGGTTCACATTACAGATTTAAAGAACTCGCCGGGGCCGGATATGAAGGAGCTTCGTTCTCTTAGCAGCAAAACTCTGGTGTTGCTTCAGGAAAATTATCCAGAGCTCATTCAAAAGAATGTAAGTGATTCAAATAAATTTAACTCAAACAATTAGCTTTTTTGCCAGCTTTCTATAATTTGCATGAATGTACGATCTGTGGTTCTTGATTAATATTTGCAGATTGTTATAAATGCTCCACTTTGGTACTATGTGGCACATGTTCTCAGATCAAGGCTCCTCAGTCAGAGAACTAAAAAGAAGTTTGTGTTTGCCAGGCCTTCAAATGTTACAAAGACCCTTCTCAAGTGAGACTAATGCTAACTACATATTAATATTTGAATGATTAGTAATTTCTTCTCCTCTGTGTTGCTCCAATATATAACTTTTATCCTTAAATTTGTTTCGAAATTGACGAAAAAGGTTCGTAGACCCGGAAAAACTCCCAGTTCAATATGGTGGCCTCAAAAGAGAGCACGATCCTGAATTCACACCAGAAGACAAAGCATCAAGGCGCTCAGTCAAAGCAAACACAACTGCCTGCATTGAAATCCCAGTTGCTGAGGTACTTAAACATGATAATTAATTATCAATCAACCCTTTTGAAACATGATGATCACTTGGATGTTGTTTTGATTAATTGAATTGGGTTTTTGGGTTTAATTATAATTAGGGTGGTTTGACAATGGTGTGGGAGCTAACAGTGGTGGGATGGGATGTGTCCTACAAGGAGGAGTTTGTTCCTGATGATGAAGGCTCATACAAGATTCTGCTCCAAAACAAGAAGAGATTAGGTCAATGTGTGAGAAATTCCTTCTATACTAATGAACCAGGGAAGATTGTGATCACCATTGAGAATTGGACCTTCAAGAACAAGAGGGTTCTCTACAGATCCAAATCCAAACTTACTGTTCCTGTGTACAGATTCTTGTTTAACTAATAGCTAGCTTAATTAGCTCTCTTCTACTTATTTACTCTAATCTGAAGCTTGTTTTGTATAGAACAGAACAGAACAGAACAGAACAGAACAGAGCATTTGTACATGAAATGATACGATCATTCTGTAATCTTTGTTTCTGCTCTTTCTATGTGGATTGAAAATGAAGATTATTTAGATGTGCTAATATTATTAAAATGTCGTATTTTGACCAAAATGAAATTAATTATAGCCCTTTTTTCTACTGCATATGATTATTGTGACATATTTATTCAGAAGCAGACAAACAATGGCTCCCGGGACCCACCTGGTTTCCACAACTCAACCAAATCTGTATCTTCTATGAAGCCAAGAGCCACCTGCCCTACACCCCGAAATGAGGTGTAAACAATTCAAAGCTTCACAGCCATGCAAACAGAAGAATGGGAAGATTTTGATAACCATTGAGAATTGGACCTTCAAGAACAATATCCAAGAGGGTTCTCTCTCTACAGATCCAAATCCAAAACCCACAACTTTAATGAAATTACGAATGGATGACCTCCACTACCACTAGTATGAATTCTTTTGTATTTTCCTGTCAAGCAAAAAGGCCAACAAGAGATCAGCTACTTAGAACAACAAAAGCAGTTCATACTTTACAAATTGATCCTATAAAAAACTTGGAAGCTTTTCTTTAAAAGAAAAAAAGGAGAGAGAATATTAGAGTGGTACCCAAATTATAATAACTCAAATATTTACTTTTACATAAAAGGAGAGAGAATATGAATGAGGATTGGCAACAAAACAATGGAACCCAACAAAACTGATCAGAGACGATCAGATGGAGTTCACGTTTCTCAGCAGGCAATGCCAAAAGGGTTTCAGAAACGCACCAATCCCAAGACAGTAAGAAAACAACAATGGCTCGAGACACCCACCTGGTTGCCACATAACTCAACTCACTTTGTTTCTTCTCTGAAGCCGAAAGCCACCTGCCCTAAACCACAAAATGAGGTGTAAACAATTCAGAGCTTCAAAGCCATGCAAGCAGAATAATGGCGAAGGATTCCTTACACTCATTTCCCTACGTGTCTCTCCCTCACCTCCTCTTCTTCACTATAAATACCAGCGCCTGCTGCTCGCCACTTCACCCATCTCAAAACCAAAGAGCTTTCTCTCTCCTTTCTGTAGTCTCCAAATATGTCTATGCCTTTAGCTCTCGCTTCTCTTTGCTTGCTTCTTCTTTTCAATGGCTGCCTGGCTTCCCGCCAGCATATATTTGGCCAGAACAAAGAGTGGCGGCTCAACCAGCTCGAGGCCCGCGAACCCGACAACCACATTCAGTCTGAGGCCGGTGTGACCGAGTCATGGAACCCCAATGACCCGCAGTTCCAATGGGCCGGTGTCGCAGCCGTTCGACGCACCATCGAGCCCAACGGCCTTCACCTTCCCTCTTACGTCAATGCTCCCCAACTCATCTACATCGTCAAAGGTAAATTCATCGAAACACCATGTAATCAATTAATATCAACTATATATTATGCATGTTATTGAATTAATTAATTAATTAGTATTTTAATTTGGTGGGGTCCAGGTAGGGGTGTGTTAGGAGCTGTGTTTCCTGGGTGTGCCGAGACTTTTGAGGACTCTCAGCCGCAGCAATTCCAGCAGCAGCAGCAGCAACAGTTCCAGCCCTCTCGCCAAGAAGGAGGACAGGGACAACAGCAGTTCCAGGGGGAGGACCAGCAAGACCGCCACCAGAAGATCCGACACATCAGAGAGGGTGACATCATCGCTTTGCCCGCCGGTGTCGCTTACTGGAGCTACAACAACGGCGAACAGCCTCTCGTGGCTGTTTCTTTCCTTGACCTCAGCAACGACCAAAACCAGCTCGACGAAGTGCCCAGGGTAAGCAATTACTTAATTAATTAATTTAAAAACATTAAATTATTTGTTTATTGACTGATTAATGACGTGGCTTGATTGGATTGGATGATGTGTTACATACAGAGATTTTACCTAGCTGGCAACCCACAAGACGAGTTTAACCCAGAAGCCGAGTTTTACATACGACAAGGCAAGCAAGGCCAGAAAGGCCAGCAAGGCAACGGCAACAACATCTTCTCCGGCTTCGACACTCAGCTCCTCGCACAGGCCCTCAACGTCAACCCAGAGACCGCGAGGAACCTCCAGGGCCAGAACGACAACAGGAACGAGATTATCAGAGTGCAGGGCCAGCTCGACTTCGTCAGCCCCTTCAGCAGGTCCGCCGGCGGCCGCGGAGGCCAAGAGAGCCAGCAGGAAGAGCAACAGAGTCAGCGTGAAAAGGAAGAGAAACAGAGGGAGCAAGAGCAGCAGGGAGGAGGCGGCCAGGACAATGGCGTTGAGGAGACTTTCTGCAGCGCCAGGCTCAGTCAGAACATCGGTGACCCTTCACGCGCCGACTTCTACAACCCTCAGGCCGGCCGCATCAGCGTCGTGAACAGTAACCAGCTCCCAATCCTCCGCCACCTACGCCTCAGCGCCGAGAAAGGTGTCCTCTACAACGTAAGTGTATATAAATATAAATACATAATTTTAACATTATAAATACAAATACAAAATTTGTTTTTGCTGATGATGATACAATATTATGTGCATGCAGAACGCTATCTACACTCCACACTGGCACATGAACGCCAACACGCTCGTGTACGCGATCAGAGGCAACGCTAGGGTTCAGGTGGTGAACGAGAACGGTGATTCCATCTTGAACGACGAGGTGAAAGAGGGACAGCTGTTTTTGATCCCCCAGAACCACGCCGTCATCACGCAGGCAGGCAACCAAGGGTTCGAGTACATTTCCTTCAAGACGGACGACAATTCCTTGACCAACACCCTAGCAGGGCGAACCTCGGTGCTAAGGGCCCTGCCAGATGAGGTGCTGCAAAACGCCTTCCGGATTTCGAGGGAGGACGCAAGGAACCTCAAGTACAACAGGCAGGAGAGCAGACTTTTGAGCGCCACTTCTCCTCCTCGTGGGAGGCTTATGTCCATCCTTGGTTATTAGATTGAGAGATGTGCATGGAGTGCGTGAGATAAGCTAAAATGTAATGCGGCACGTAGTGTTTCTTTTATTTTTCTTTTTCTTTTTTTGCTTCTTTTTTTTTTTCTCTTTTTGGGGTTTCTAGGAATAAAGGTAGGTAGAGACAAGAGAATAAAAAAAAGGCCTTATATATATGGCTGTATGTAATGTACTAATGTAAGAGGAGATTGAGGTTCTAATAAGTAAGTAAATAACTACAACGTGTGGAGGCTTCTGCATGTAACGATCTATCTATCTTGCTAATAATGCTAAGATAAGTATTGTGACTTTGTAATTAGCTTATCGGGGCACATATTTTGCATATATTATCTAATTCTAGTGTCGCGCACGAGACAATTATTAATGGCATGTTTAATAATCGTCAATTATTAATGGCATCTTATTAAAATCAAGGGCATATCCAATACAAATCCCTATATTTTCTATTTTCTATCCAATATAAATCCCTATATTTTCTATTTTCTATTTCCTAGACATATACCTATCACTCTATAAATCTATGCGTAAAATCCAATTTTAAATTTAAATGACCAGTAGGATATAAGATCCCTATATTTTCTATTTTCTATCCAATATAAATCCCTATATTTTCTATTTTTTATTTCCTAGACATATACCTATCACTCTATAAATCTATACGTAAAATCCAATTTTAAATTTAAATGACCAGTAGGATATAAGAGGTCGTACTATTCCTATGTTTTTACATATTGTTGCCACTAGACTTCATATTTTATTTATAATTTATTTCAAGCATTTTATTAACTGTCATGATTGTAATTAATACTCCCTATTAATAGCATATCATCACTCCATTTCTTTTTACATTGCCACTAGACTTCATATTTTTTTTATAATTTATTTCAAGCATTTTATTAATTGTCACTAGACTTTATATTTTATTTATAATTTATTTCAAGAATTTTATTAACTGCCATAATTGTAATTAATACTCCCTATTAATAGCATATCAATCACCCCATTTCTTTTGGTTGTCATTCCCTCTCACATATCGCTCCCTAAAATTACAAACCAAAAAAAAAATTCTGTAAATTACATATCCAATAATGTACCTATTGTACCTATGAAAAATATAACTATAAATATAAATATATACATATAAAAATATAAATATACTATTTAAATACAATATAGGTATATTATTTACCAAAAAAATTAAAAAAAACTTACAAATTTCTGTACATTTTTCATAAATTAAAAATAGGCACACAATAATTTATAACAAAATATAGGTACATAGGTAAATTATTTTACAATATACCTATAAATGTGTATAGGTGCATTATTTGGAGAAAAATAGGTTCATTTAAAAAAAATTAAAAATAATAGGTATAGTGTTTTACTAGGGACATTATTAGAGAAAAAAAAATAGGTACATTATTTAGAGAAAAAATAGGTTCATTTAAAAAAAAATGTTTTTCATAAAACAAACAATAAATAGATTATCAAAATATTTTTCAACATAATTAGAATGTACAATATTATTCATAATACTATAATAAAATAGATCACTAGTTGTATAATTTATAAAGGGAAAACAACATAATTTTTGTATTAAATAAACCAAAACGTTAATCACATGTAGATTACTAATATGATAATGTGGAATTTAATATTGAATTTCAAATAAGTTTCTAAATTAATTCCTACATCTATTACAACCATTTGAACATCTTTCCAAATTCAACGTGTGTCATTAATTACACCACCGCATAACACGTTAACTTGTAAATATGGGTAGTTTTGGAATCCGAAAAATAGAATAAATCATATTTTAAGCCAGAGTAATTTGCTTACTTGGATCCTAGTCATCAGGTTTTATTTAAAAAAATTGGGTATTTTAATAGAAAAATAAAGAAAATGGTTGTAAGTGATTAAAAATGAATTTTATGGGTCTAAGCTCAATTTACTATAAAATAAAATTAAAACTAGCAAATTAAATGACACTCAAAGTCAAAAGGTCTTGGTTATTACAGATGAAGAACATATATAACTTGAGATTAACATACGACTTGAGATTAATTATTTGTTCCACTCATGGCAAAGGTAAGATCGGAAGGTATTGTCCCACCTGCATGGACCGTTTGGTCTTATGCTCCACATGCACTCA